CTCTACCACCTGTGCCATACCTCCACTTCCAAACCACTTCTTTAATATGGCTTACAGAACCCTGCAATGTTCTGACTCAGTCTGCTACTTTGACTCCATCTCCTGACTCTGTCTTCCTGCTCTGAGCCTACTACTGTCATTGTTTCCTTTTATGAAGGTATAGGTTAGCTACTTGCAGGACAGTTTAGTCATTTTTGCTTTATGGTCCAGATAGAAGATGAATTGGATGTGAATTAGAGGAGGAGGAGAAAGGACAGATAAGACTTGATAGGATAGAGTGGATCTGTGAAATTAAAAAAAAAAAAAAAAAAAAAAAAGGATTTGAGTCCAGATCCGAGACTGTAATTCAAAAGGCTACATCACTCATAGAGAACTATGGGAGTTTGGAGGGACCAGCATGAGGTCATGATGACATGGCAGGCTGGATTTGAGTGTGGGATAGCAAGGTGTCTGTCCAGGAGGAAGTTGGACATTATAAATCTTAAATTCAGGGAGGAGATTAGAATATGAACAAATTGCCAAACAAGAGATTATGGTGTGATCTCTGATTATTAATTCAACTGGGATAAACCCCAGGGGCATATTTGCAGTAATTCAAGCCGTTGGCAGTCGATAGTTTAATGTGAACTTCAGGTCAGCAAAGAAATGAAATTTATTTTGGAGACTATCAGGCAAAAGGAGGCCAGAGTTTTGGGGAGGATTTTTGTGGCCTTTCCACTCTCTAGGCTTAGGATAATGACTGTTGCTTTTCTACTCAAATGAAAAGTGGAGATTTGAAAAGCTGCTGTATTAGATAATTAATAGAGATTAAACAAGGTAGCAGAGAGTAATGTGAATGGAAAATAATCTGGAATGCTAGGTTAGGATGAAATTGCTCCAAGATATGTTGTTTCTTTATAGTTATAGACTAATTTTACATTTTCTTAAAAGAGTTACAACACAAAGTGATTCATTTTTGACTGATACTGTGGGTTGGCTCGCCAGTGCCCATTCTGACTGCCTTCTCCTCCCTTGTTTTCTGCAAAAACTTTGGAGCCTCTCACATAAACACCCAGACTTCATTCCAGCCTAACGTGGCCATGTAATGTACTTGAAGTTATTAGGTAATTCTGAATGAAGACTCAAGTCTGTGAGAAGCACCCTTCTTGTCCTTCTGCTTTCTTCCAGCATGGAGCTTCAATCCAGTATTTGTAGCAGCAGTTGTGTTACCAAGAGAACGAAAGTTAAGATACTGGGGCAGGAAGTGGAGCTGTGGCTCTACTGTGGTAGAGTGCCGGCCTTGAGCAAGGGACAGTGCATGTGTGTATGTGTGTGTGTACATAGTATGAGTATACACACATACACACACACACAGAGCTTAGCAGGGTGTCCATGATTCACACCTATAATACTAACTATTGTGGCTAAGATCTGAGGCTCATGGTTGGAAGCCACCTGAGGCAGAAAAGTCTATGAAACTCTTATCTTCAATTTAGCAGCAAAAAGCCAGAAGTAAAGATGTGGCTCAAATGGGAGAGCTTCAGCCTTGACCCCGAATACTAAGAGCCAGCATTCAGGGTTTAGTTTAAGCCCTAGTACTGATATGCATGTACACACACACACACACACACACACACACACACACACACACACACACACACACACACACACACACACACACACACACACAATGCTGGAGCAGAAGGATGAAAGCGTTCCTGATTTCTTTTTTCTCTTTTCTTTTTTGGTAGCACTGTGGCCTTATGTTGGCTAAGCAGGTGTCTATCAATATCACTTGAACTACAATATAACCCTTTTTGCTTTAGTTCATTTTTTTTAGGTAGTCTTTGTGTTTTTGCCTGGTATGGCCTTAGACTGTGATCCTCCTACCTATAGTTCTCATAGCTGGGGTTATACACCCGAAACTCAGTCTCACCCAGTTTATGTGTTGAGATGGGATTTTTCCAACATTTTATCCCAACTGGCTTAGAACTGTTGTTCTCACAATCCTCACCTTTCAAGGAGTTTGGATCACAAGCATGAACTATAGTGCTTTACCAGATCACTTTAAAAAAATATAATACTTCAATTAATTAATTTATTTATTAATATGCTAGAACTAGGGCTTGGACTCAAGGCCTGAGCACTGTCCCTGAGCGTTTTCACTCAAGGATAGTACTCTACCACTTGCACCACAGCTCTACTTTTGGCTTTTTGGTGGTTAATTGAAGAGAAGAATCTCATGAACTTTCCTGCCTGGGCTGGCTTCAAACCTCAATTCTCAGATCTCAGCCATCTGGGTACCTAGGATTACAAGCATAGGTTACTGGCACTCAACTTATTATTTTTTTTGGGGGGGGGGTCTGGTCGTGGGGCCTGAACTCTGGGCCTGGGCGCTGTCCCTCAGCTCTTCAGCTCAAGGCTAGCGCTCTACCACTGGAGCCACAGCACCACTTCTGGCTTTTTTTTTTCTTTTTGCTTATGTGGAGCTGAGGAATTGAACCCAGGGCCTCATGCATGCAAGGCAAGCACTCTACCACTGATCCACCTTCCCAGCCCTTATTATTATTTTTATTGGGATATATTAGCTGTACAAAGGGGTTTCATTGTGGCATTTCCATGTCACAATGTAAGCAATGTATTCCCCTCCATCACTCTCCTGCCTCTTACTCTCCCTTAAAACAATTTTAGCAGATTTCATTGTTCTACTTTTATTCAAACAAATAAACTACTTGGACCATATTCAGTGTGTGTGTGTGTGTGTGTGTGTGTGTGTGACACAGAATTTCTTGCTCAGTCTGGCTTCAAACTGCAATCCTCAGATGAGCCGTCTGAGTAGCTAGGATTATAGGTGTGAGCTGCTAGGGGTCTGACAGACCCTATTTATTCTTATTTGCCTTCTTTTTTAGCCCCTTATCCCCCTGATGCCACACCTTGTCTTACCTGTCATTCACCGTTTTTTTTTGGCCAGTCCTGGGGTTTGAACTCAGGGCCTAGGCACTGTGTCTGAGCCTCTTTGTGCTCAAGGCTGGCATTCTACCACTTGAGCCACAGTGACACTTCCTCATTCACCATTTTCTTGTGTGTGTTAATTACACCAAAGGGGTTCACTATGTTTCAGATGTGATTATATTATGTTTTGTTCAGAATGTAAGAAGCAACTTAAAAGATACTTCTGGGAAGTGGTGCTGTGGCTCAAGTGGTAGAGTGTTAGTCTTGAGCTGAAGAGCTCAGGGACAGTGCCCAGACCCAGAGTTCAAGTCTCACAACTGACCAAAAAAACAACAACAACAAAAACAAAAAAGCCAAAATCCAAAAACAAAACAGTTATTCAAAAGCTACTTCTGTTGGGCGCATGAGTGAACTAGGAACGTAATAAAAGCTGGCTACTCAACATCCCCCACTTGGCATCTGTGTCCTTTAATGGAAGCCATTCCCACCTTGCGCTTCAGAAGGACAGGAAACATCTTGCAATAAAACTCAAAATATCCCAGACGAGCAATTCCTTTTTTTTTTTTTTTTTTTATCTAAGGTGAAACTACTTCAAAGGAAGAGAGTAGCCAAAAGTTACAGAAGACCCTTCAGGTAAAGCAGCTGACTAACTCTGACTCACTTGCGCCTCGGTGACTGGCTAGAGCCTGCTCCTGTCAGGATAAAGCAATGCCACCTTCTATGAAAGCCCAGATAAAGCAATGCCACCTTCTATGAAAGCCCAGAGACAAAGAACGAGATTAGGAGCTATGAGGCCACTTTGTCACTTGTCATGATTTTAACTATGCATATCTTTCTCACCCCTTGCCCAGTTTCCAGTCTGTTTGAAGCTAAAGCTTCAAATAAACCTCCTTTTTCTGCCCTTCATCATGTCTCTTTATTTGGCCTCTGGGGGCAGGTTGGCTGGACACATGGAGTTTATTTAGGCCTGGAGTCTAAAAATGCTGTTTCAAGAATAACCCTCTGGAGGCAACAATGCTCGGCAGGAAATGTACTCATTACCTTGTTCATGTAACTGTGATCTCTCTGTACAGTATTTTCTGTTTATCACAATTTTCATTGGAGTTCGTTATGCCATCTTCAAACATAGAGGTACTGTTTTTCAAAATTATGTGCCAGTCTTGGGGCTTGAACTCAGGGCCTGAGCTTTTTGCTCAAGGCTAGCACTCTACCACTTGAGCCACAGAGTCACTTCTGGATTTTTCTGTTTATGTGGTGGTAAAGAATTGAACCCAGGGTTTCATGCATGCTAAGCAAGCACTCTACCATTAGACTACATTCCCAACCCTACTCCCAGCTTTTTGGTGGTTAATTGGAGAGTCTCATGGACTTTCCTGACTGGGCTGGCTTTGGATTGTGAGTCTCAAATCAGCCTTCTGAGTAGCTAGGATTACAGGTGTGAGCCACCAGTACCCAGCAACTCTCTTTCTTTCTCCATTTTCCTTCCCTTGTCCTTCTATATAATCCTATAATTAGAATAATATTTGTGTACATACACATATAAATTTATGTATATAGATATATAACATGTAACATGTCCATGAATATGAATGCCTTATGTCTACCTTCAATATATGAGTGAAATATACTATTTGGCTTTTGAGCTTGGTTTATCTTGCTGCCTGCTACCTCAGGGCCTTGGCACATACTATTATTGTCTCTACCTAGATGTTTTTCTCCTTTCTTCCACCTTCTCCCTGCTCCTACTTTGTATGTTTACCTTTTATTATTCAACTATTACTTCCTCTTAGAACACTTCTGACTTTCATCCGTCTATGTGTTCTCTATATAGAGCTGTATTCTTTTCTCACCTTTGCAATTAATCATATTGTGTTGAAATTACTTTTGTTTACAGGGATACATATTCATTCACTATGCAGGACCACAGATAATGCTTTATGAAATTTATTCACTCAGTCAACAAATTCCTCAGTACAACAAATTCTTTAGTTCCAAGAGCTTTAGATAAAGTGTTATATTGGGTAGAACCTTCCACTTCACTGTGCTTATGCTCTACTTGGTAAAGAGAAAAAAATATGGAATGCTACACAAATTTGCGTGTCATCCTTGCGCAAGGGCCATGCTAACGTTCTCTGTTTCATTCCCATTTTAGTATATGTGCTGCCAAAGCGAGCACCAGATAATGCTTTATAAAGACAAAGTTTGTATGATCACTATCTAATAACATCATATTCATCCGAAATTTTCTGGAAACAGAATACCTATATGATAACTAATTCTTTTGTAGTTTCTGTAGTGGTTGATATATTTTTACATGGCCTAGATTAAAAGTGAATGTCATACAAAATTAACCCATAAAAATCAGTCACCTTTCTGTACACCAATAATGTACAAGCAGAAAGGGAAATTAAGGAAATAACACCATTCACAATAATCTCAAAAAAAAAAATCTAGGAATTAACCTAACCAAAGTTGTAAAGGATCTATTTAATGAAAACTATAAAAGCCTAAGAAAAGAAATAATGGAGGACACCAGGAAATGGAAAGACCTCCCATGTTCTTGGATAGGCAGAATTAATTTATATAATTAATATAGTGAAAGTGGCCATTCTGCCAAAATTGATATATAAATCCAATGCAATTCCCATTAAAATACCAATGACATACTTTACTGACATAGAGAAAACAGTCCAAAAATTCATATGGAACAACAAAAGACCTAGAATAGCCAAAGCAGTTCTAGACAAAAGAAAGAATTCAGGAGGGATCGTGAAACCAGATTTCAAGCTCTACTATAGAACCATAATAACAAAGACAGCATGGTACTGGCACAAAAACAGACCTGAAGACCAATGGAATAGAATAGAAGATCCAGAAATAAAACCACACACTTACAGTCAGCTGATATTTGACAAAGGAACCAAAGACATACAATGGAAGAAACACAGCCTCTTCAACTATTGGTGCTGGGAAAACTGGGTGGCCACATGCAGAAAACTAAAAGTGGACCCCAGCCTATCACCATGCACCAACATCAACTCAAAATGGATTAAAGACCTTAACATTAAACTTGATACTTTGAAACTACTGCAGGACAGAGTAGGAGAAACACTTGAATTTATAGGCACAGGCAGGAACTTCCTGAACAGAGTCCCAGGGTCACAACAAAATTGGAGAGAGACTCCATAAACGGTACTACCTTAAAATAAAAAGATTCTGCACAGCTAAAGAAATAACAACCAAACTAGAAAGACAGACAGCTAATTGGGAAAAATATTTACCAGCAATATATCAGACAAGGGCCCAATATCCATTATATACAGGGAACTCAAGAAACAAACCTCTCCCAAATCTAACAAGCTAATCTTTAAATGGGCAAGGGAGCTAAAGAGACTTCTCAGAAGAAGAGATAAAAAAGGCAAAGAAACACTTGAGAAAATCTTCATCATCCCTGGCTGTAAAGGAAATGCAAGTAAAACAACACTGTGATACCACCTTACCCCAGTCAGAATGGCCCACAACCTAAATTCAGCAAATGAAATTGCTAGAGGAGATGTGGAGAAAGAGGAACCCTACTGCATTGCTGGTGGGAATGTACACTAATACAACCACTTTGGAAAGCAGTCTGGAGGTACCTTAGAAAGCTAAAATAGACCTCCTCTATGACCCAAACATACCACTCCTAGGCATCTATGCTGAGCAGCAAGAACCAGGATACAAGGACACATGCACCTCCATGTTCATTACAGCACTGTTCACAATAGCCAAGATAGGGAAACAACCCAGATGCCCCACTAAAGATGAGTGGATCAAAAATTGTGATACCTATATACAATGGAATACTATGCAGCCATTAGAACGGACAAATTAATGGCACTTGCAGGGAAATGGATGGAACTAGAGCAATTCATTTTGAGTGAGGTAAGCAAAGAGACAAATGGCACATGGTCTCCCTGATATGTGGATGCTAAAGCCAAAATGCAAGGAAATATGACAAAGTAAACAAGACTTGAGAAACAAAGGACTTCCACTCATTTTTTTTTGTATCACTGCTGAATGACTCCGTGTTCTTGACCACATATATGGTATATATATATATATGTGGGCAACTGAGGGAAACTAGGAGTAGGACACAGAATCAGAGGGAAATGGGAAAACATACAACAAAGGGGCCCATCAGCTGCACTGGACATAGATGAAAATGAGCTAAGCAACTCAAAGGCAGCGATGGGAGGGAGGGAATGAAAGGTAAAGAGGGAACAGCTTACACTAAGCAAAAGGAAAGAAATGTAAGTATCACCTGATGTGGAAGAAATAGCTGTATTATCAAAGCTCATAGAATTCACAAACTTTATAGACCATGATAATGACAATTTGCCTGTGAAGGTTAAAATGTGTTTGTGCCTTTAACTATCATTATTCCACAATACTGTGAAATATGTGAAATTTATGTAATCATCTAATATCAATAAAATTTTTTAAAAAAGTGAATACCAGAGCCAAACAAGCAATCTAGTGCCACCAGTCTTCCTGTGATAAGGTGATGATAAGGCCAAATAGATCATGGATTCAAAGCCTACCTCTGCTCTCTACCAGTGTATGAACATCTTTGTGGTTTTGACTATTTATCTGTAAATGGGTTGGAAATAATAATACCTCCCCATGACAGGCTCATCTTGGAGACTGAGCATGAATGCTTGAACATGAATCATGAAGTTACCAAGTGACCTAGGATGATGAACTGGTATCGTGTGACTCTCCAAGCCACAAAGGACCATTCCCAGTAGCATTCTTTCATGGACTGGAAAATCTGGATGAGATCAGGCTCCAGTAAGTCTTAAAGGAGTAAGTAAGTTGAGCAAATCAGTAGCACAGATGCATATGGCCCATGCATACTCTTGTTACATGGCCTCTTTCTACCTATCCACATCTGGGTATCAGTAGTTCTGTGTGACAAGTTAGCTGAGCAGAAAAAATTCCAGAACTCATTTAAAGGTGGTTCTGTAAAATATGCCTACACTCTCCCCAAATTGCATGGTTGTAGTGTGCAGTTCTACTATGGAATAGCTTCTGAAAATAGGATGAAGGAAACTTTCAGTGGGTAGTATGTATCTACATTGAATTAGAGGCAGTAGCTAATGGATTGGCTGGACATTTGAGACTTAAAAGAATCATGATTGACTGCTGGATACTGGTGGCTTAGCCTATAATCCTTGCTATATGGAGGCTGAGATTTGAGGACTGTGGTTCAAAGCCAGCCCAGGCAGAAAAGCCCTTGAGACTTATTTCTAATTGACCACCAAATTGCTAAAACTAGAGCTTTGACTCAAGTGGTAGAGTAATTACTTAGAGTACTAAAGCTCGGGAACAGACCCTGAGTTTAAACTCCAGGACCAGAACAAAGAAAAAAAAAGATAAAGAAAGAGTCATGTTTAGAAAATTGGTAGTTAGGAGGTCTGAGAAAGTGATCTGTGGGAAGAAGTTTCTGAATTTGAAAAGAATGTGAGTGCTCACCAGACAGTAATCTTACAGTAATCTCACAAAAAGGGGATTTTTTAGGAGCCAGTGGATGGTAGTACCTGTTATATTAGCCAATTCCCAACCATCCTAGACAGAATGATTCCCTGGGTTATTCAGGGACTCAGCAACATGGACTTTCAATCACTAATGTTCAACCTGTCAACACCAGAGACCATCATTCAATAGGGTTCCATCCCTAGGAAGTACAAGCCCGCTACCAGGTAAAAGGTTATTTTCAAAAGATCATTTCTATGATGGAAGGATCTGACTTTGGGGTGTGTGTGTGTGTGTGTGTGTGTGTGTGTGTGTGTGTGTGTGTGTGTGTGTGTTGGTCGCCAGCCTTGAACTCAGGGCCTGGGTGTTGTCTCTGAGCTCTTTAGCTCAAGGCTACTGCTCTACCACTTTGAGCCACAGCAGCATTTCTAGTTTATGAGTGATTAATTGGAGATAAGAGTATCACGGGGACTTTTCTCCCCAGGCTGGCTTTGACTGTGATCTCAGATCTCAGCCTCCTGAGTAGTTAGGATTACAGGTGTGAGCCACAGATACCTGGCAGACTTTGTTTTTACCGATACTTGGGATACAGGTTTGTCTTTCGTGTTCATGATATGTCAACCAAAACCACTACTGAGGAATTTATAGACTGTGTTACTCACATGGTATTTCACAGAGTTTTCCTTCTGACAGAGGAACTCACAGTAAATAAAGTGTGGCAATAAGCCTGTACTCATAGACTCCACCGGTCTTTTAATGTCCTCTACCACCTTGAACGGTTCAGCCTGTTAAAGTAGTAGAATGATGTTTTAGAGACTTAGTCACCAGCTAGATGGAAATAACTTGCAGAAGTGGAGCAATGTCCTCTAGGATGTACACTATGCCCCAAATTTGAGACCAGTATGTGTTGCTATGCCTCCCAAAGGCAGTTTTATGGGTAAGAATCAGGGAATAGAAGGGAGACTTTCTGCCAGTTACATTGACATATACCTATAATCATAGCACTTAAGAGTTAAGGAAGGAGGACTGTGAGTTTGAGGCCGGCGGGGCTAAAAAGTGAGACTCTATCTTAAAAACAAAAATGATGGGCTGGGAAGGCGACTCAGTGGTAGAGCGCTTGCCTTGCATGCCATGAGGCCCTGGGTTTGATTCCTCAGCACCACATAATCAGAAAAAGCCTCAAGTGGTGCTGTAGTTCCAGTGGTAGAGCGCTCGCCTTGAGCTGAAGAGCTGAGGGACAGCGCCCAGGCCCAGAGTTCAGGCCCCACAACCAACCAAAAAAAAAAAAAAAAAGAGAGAGAGAGAGAGAGAGAAAGAAAGGAAAATAATTTCTTCTTATTATTACACTTAATGATCCACTGTGAAGGTATTTATTTCCTATCTCTACCACTTTAGGCTCTGCTAGTCTAGAAGTCTCATTTCCCAAGGGAGCAATGATTTCCCCCTGGAACACAGTAGGGGTCCCATTAATAAGGATGTGAGGACTCCCATGTGGGCACATTGGGCTCCTCACACTAGTGGGTCACAGGAAAAGAAAAGGTCACCACACTAGTTTGGGTTAATTGATTCCGACTATTAAGGGGAAATTGGAAATCTCTTTAGAACGTTAACCTTGGGCGTCTATATGACCTGTATATCAAAACCAAGTTTCCTGGATTTGAC